GGGGCCCGGGCCCGGCCCGCCGGAAGCCCGCCCTTGGTACGGGGTGGCGGTCGGACAGGAGGACCCTAACCGGCGCCGTTTAACCGGTCTTCGTTGGGACCCCGCGCACAAAGGCGGACTGGGCGGCCCAGCGGGCCCCGCCGGACGGGGACCGGCACAGCGGGGCTGCCAGCGCCGCTCCCAGGCTAATCCCCGCCCCGCCCCCGCGCCCCCGCGTCCCCGCGGCTGGGAACCGAGCGCGGCCCGGGGTCTGGGCGCCGCCGCCGCCGCGAGAGGCCGCGAGCCCCGCCGGAAGCGAGGCCCCGGCTCTCGGCGCCCCCCGGACCCGGGCGCTGATGGATGGGAGGAGGCTGGGGTGGGGGCGGGGGCGGGGGATCCGGTTGGAACCAGGGCGCAGAGCCGCAGGCCGAGGCCGCCCCCTGTCCGCAGTCCGCCCTCGCTGCACGTCCCCACCCGGGGGGCGGGCCCTTCCCGTGCAGGTGGCTTCGAGGGCGACCAGGGGACACGCGGCTCCCTCATCTGCCGAGCTGCGTTCTTCCGCAGCATGGGGACGGGAGCCTGGCTCCTAGGCCATCCCTTCGCCCTGCGAGGCGGTGCACAGGTCACGTCCCTGCTCGGGGTTCTTCGCCGGAAGGAGGTGGTCAGACGGCGTGCCTTTCCGGCCTTGGCCTCTGGTCGTTAGTCCGCATCTGCAGGATGGGCCCACCAGACTTCCTGCCTCTCGGGTGAAAAGGATTGAATGGGATGTAGCCCCTGAGGGAGAATCTGGTGCCTGCTGAGCACCCACAGGCGGTCATTACTGTGTGACGAGGTTGGGGGAAATCCCCGAGAATCTCTTTCTTTGCTGGACCCTGTCCTCTCCTCCCAGGAGGGACTTGACCTTCTCAGCCCAGAACCTTGGCCTCGTCTGGGTGGAGAAGGGGAGGGAGAGGGAGACTGAGATGCCAGCCCCCCCTCCCGGTCAGGAACGCTGGCGGGTCTGTGACGAGGGAAACCGAGGCCCAGAAAAGGAAAGGGCCTGCCCAGCGCATCCAGTGGGGAGCGGGCGGCCTTGGGTAGGTCAGGCTGCAGGTTCCCGGCCTTCCTGCCGAGACCTCAGGCTCTCAGGACTGTGCTGGCGTCTCTGGAGTTTGGGGCTAGGACAGATCAGGGCCACCCAATCTCTTAAGCAACCCCCCAGAGCTATGTTTCCACCCGTTTCTAACAGGCTCCCTTCTGGTTTAATCAGCCAGTGGCCCCGCCCTCAGTTTGCTCATCCATAAAGTGGGGATACCCTCTTCCCCCCGCACCCCCCACCCCTGCTGGCCTGGCTGGGGAGGTTGAGGCAGGGCAGCTGAGTCCCAGGACTGGCCTAAGCGATGCTTCCCAATCCCCCCTCCCACCCCTCCGCAGCCACCCGCGAATCGGCCTTCGTCCACGCCATCGCCTCCGCTGGCGTGGCCTTCGCCGTCACGCGCTCCTGCGCAGAGGGCACCTCCACCATCTGTGGCTGCGACTCCCATCACAAGGGGCCACCCGGCGAGGGCTGGAAGTGGGGCGGCTGCAGCGAGGACGCCGACTTTGGGGTGCTCGTGTCCCGGGAGTTCGCGGACGCCCGCGAGAACAGACCGGACGCGCGCTCGGCCATGAACAAGCACAACAACGAGGCGGGCCGCACGGTGAGCCGCAGCTGCCCTGGTGGCGACCCTTCCCGGGACTCCTTCCCAGCCCTGTCCCGCCCCGCCTGCCTCTACCCCTCCCGCTCTGCCCCTTCCCCTGGGCCACCCTTGGCCCCCGCCCGCACCCCACAGCCACCCCTTCTGTTCACCCTCCTGTAGCCTTGGTCTGGCCCAGGTCTCCGCCCGCCTGGGGATGCGCGCGGGGAGCGTGGTGGCCCCTGGCGCGGGTCCTGCCGCCCATGCTGTGCGTTTGGGCAGCCTGTGGGCCTGGGGGCCTGGCTTTGCACTCGACTTCCACCCCTTCCTGTGGTGGTTTGACTTGGGGCGAGGCATTTAAGTTGCTGGCCTCGGTTTCCCCATCTGTTACACGTGGAAAACAACCCTATTTATTACAGCTTTGGGAAAGGAATGTGAGGCGTGGGGTGCGAAGGGGAGGGAACCATCAACAGTCACCTTTCCTTGGTTCCGGGCCTCGGTCCTCCACCAGCGCTCACCCCGGCCCAGGGGAGGGAGGGAGAAGGCTCCATCCAGGGCTGGGCTGGCGGCAGAGCAGGCGGGTCTCGGTGGCTCCCAGGGGCGTCCGTCCGGGGGCCAGCGGCTGCTTCTCTTCCCCAGACCATCCTGGACCACATGCACCTCAAGTGCAAGTGCCACGGGCTGTCGGGCAGCTGCGAGGTGAAGACCTGCTGGTGGGCCCAGCCCGACTTCCGCGCCATCGGCGACTTCCTCAAGGACAAGTACGACAGCGCCTCGGAGATGGTGGTGGAGAAGCACCGCGAGTCGCGCGGCTGGGTGGAGACCCTGCGCGCCAAGTACGCGCTCTTCAAGCCGCCCACCGAGAGGGACCTGGTCTACTACGAGAACTCGCCCAACTTCTGCGAGCCCAACCCCGAGACGGGCTCCTTTGGCACCAGGGACAGGACTTGCAACGTCACCTCCCATGGCATCGATGGCTGCGACTTGCTCTGCTGCGGCCGCGGCCACAACACGAGGACGGAGAAGCGGAAGGAGAAATGCCACTGCATCTTTCACTGGTGCTGCTACGTGAGCTGCCAGGAGTGCATCCGCATCTATGATGTGCACACCTGCAAGTAGGGAGCCAGGTAGGGTGGCGGGGAGAGGAGGCCGGTGGGGGGGGGAGGTGGGCCTTGCTGCTGGGACCTGGCTTTGGCATTGACTTTTTCCTGCCGACCCTGTTCTAGTTCTCAGCTACCGGAGACACACGTCCCCAAGTGAGGCTGCGAGCAGTTGATTAAAATTCTTGTACCTGTTAGTTAATTATGAGCCAGGCCACATTTGTGTCCAGCCACTGGCTCTCATTGCTGAGCATCTGTGGAGACAGAGGAGGGACACGGGTTGGAAGCTGGAAACCTGACCTCTGGGGCCAACTTTGCCCCTAGCTTCCTGTGCCGTCACTTCTCTGGGCCTGTTTTCTTGCTGTAAAACAAGGACGTTAAAATACTTGAAACAGTAGGCCGAAAAGTCTCCTCTGCAAACCCTGGGGCAGTCATTCTGCACCCACCTTGAACTTCGAGGGCAAGTTTTTGCACAAGCGTAAACCCTACCCACCTCAGGGAGGTGGGTGGGGGGAAGCTGTGTATAAGCCCATATCCTGACACATCTGAAGCTTGGGTGGAGTGGGTGCACTCTCACGGAGTTTATGGATGGGGATGGGGAGGAGGAAGGAGTCAAGTTCAGAGTGACGGTGGTGAGTAATCAAAGGATCAAAGGCTGGTGGATTATGCTGCCAAGCTTCCCAGAGGTGGCCGGCGTGGGAGACGGTGTGCCTGGCTCTCAGATCCATAGTCCCTAGATAGGTCCTGATGGGTGCAGGGTGGTCCTAGAGTCCAGGAGGTGGAACGTTTGAGGCCAGTATGCCCTTTCTCCCTTTTCTCTGCCCTGAGAAGGAGCCTAATATACAAAGGCATGAACCCTGGGGTGGCTCCCGCCACTTGCCAAGTGTGGGACCCAGACAAGATTGTCTTTACACGCCTGTCTCCTCATCTGTCATCCTCCCTAGAGGTGCTGAGGAGCACAGGAAGAACAGTGGGAACAGTGATTGGTTCACGGCAGAGGACTTGCCTGCCTGGGTCATTGCTGGCTGGGGCTGTGTCAAGGAAGGGCACTCCACTGGGCCCTGCAGTTCCACACAGGGCTCCTCGGAGCTGGGGTGCTGGCTTGTGCTGATGGGACTGTTGCGGGGGCGGAACCCGACATCATGGGGAGAGTTCTGGTTGAGGGGTGACTTAACCAGTCCATCTGGGAAGCCCCTCTGTGTAGCTGAAGTCAGGGACAGTCTAGAAGGGTGGTTCCCATTCCACTGCTTAGCAGCCGTGGAACCTTCCACCCCAGTTTCCTCATCTAGGCAGAGGTGGTGATAATGGGAGCCTGGCAGAAGTTTTATGAGGCTCAAATGAGCTAAGAGGTGTGACCACTTACTAATAGAAAGTGTGCTAAAAGCCATCAGGGAGCTGTGACATGAGAGTGGTCACTGAGCAGTGAAATGGTGTCATCACTTGGGCAAGTCCATTTACTGCCTTTCCAAATGATAGAAGAAAAGTCAGCAAACGAGAGAGAACTCACAGGCTCACTGTGGCCTGCCAAGGTGGAAGGAATGTTTGAAAGCACAGTGGCTACCCTCCTCTGATGTCCACTACGGCCAGAGGCAGCACAGTGTCCCCATTGCCCATCAGGACATGGCTCTGGCATTCCCAGAGGGGGCTGCACCTGCCAGGTTCCCCCCAGTCTCTATACAAGACAGGTTCTGCATTAGGGTAGTTACCTGCTACAGGCTTCCTGTCTTCCAGGCCCCAGCTAGAAGGCGAGGGAGATAGGATCTGGATCCAGTCAGCGGATGCTAAAAGCCTTACTGTTCCTGTAGACCACACTCCCTTCCTCAGTGGTGGACCCCAAGTATAGGAGGGAGCAGGGCAAAGCCACTCAAGGTCCCCATTACCTCCAAGTACAAGAAAAATGTTGAGCTCTCCTGTCATCAGCCTGTGATCTTTGTACCCTTATGGGTGGTCTCCCTGGGAAAGCAATTATGTTTCTAATTCTTCCTCTTTATTTCCCAAAGGGCGCTGGGCAGATTCACTGAAGTCCTGAGCAGGACCTAAGCCAGCTCAGCCCTCAGCATCCGACAGCAAGGAATCCGGACTGTTGCCAGATGCACGTGTGGTAAATTACCTGGACCCAACCGCCCGCTGACTGGGAGGCCTCCCTCCCTCTCTCATCTTAAGTTTCTCACCCGACTCTGGATGGTGTGTGGTGTTTAAAGAAGGGGCTTGCTTTTTAGTTCTCTGGGGTCTGATAGGAACAGATCCGAGGCTTATCTTTGCACATGTTAAAGAAAATAAAAATGGAAAACAATTTCTACTCCAATGGAACAGGCTGGGCTAATGTGAGCTCTTTGCCTGGCGATAAAGACATCAGCGTGGGCAAGACTGTTTGCAGACTGCTTCTCATGGGGACGTCCCGGGATGCTGGGAGGTGGGAGTTACGGAGTAGGACAGACCCCTGCAGCCTCCTTTCCTCTGCCTACTCCCATTCAAATCTGATACACTCTCACGAGCTGATAAAAGCCATAGGTCTAGCGAGGACGAAGTGGTAGGGAGGCCCGAGGCAACTGTGAGAGCGGGTTTCGTTTTGAAGAACTAGTTCTAGCCCTGGCCGGCTGTTTGAAGAGCAGCAGTGTGTTCTCAGCCTCGTTTTCTCTGCAGCCCTGTCCTGCACCAGAGGCTCTTGTGAACTGCAGTCAGATTTCTACCTTTCTGCAGTTTCCACCATGAATGCAGTACTTTTTTTTTTTTTGGTAGTGGATGTTGTAAATAGGCTGTGTATGGGAGGAGAGGGGAACAAGCCTTCTCCAGCCCGAATGGCTTCCTAGAGAAAGGAGTGGTATCTTTGGAAGACGCCGCTCAATCCCCTCCAGTCGCTCACCTGCAGATTCTCCATCAAAACAACGCCAGGTGAGCAGTTGGCCACCTCAGTATAAATGAGACAAAGGGCCAGTGAGAGAGGAGCAGTCTCTTCCTGAAGTTCCAGTTTGGAGACCAGTAGATGGGGAGGGTAGAAACGAGTCCTCATTTCCTCTCCAGTAAGGACATGTCTTCCTGCATCCTTTCTTTTCTTTGGCCCGAGTGAGTTCTGAGTTCTCTAAGGCAGAGCTTCTGGCCTCACCTGCATGCTGATAAGCATCAATCCATGCAGCTACTGCGGGTGAGGATTAGGTGTTCAAAGGGGGCAAGCAGTCACCTGCTCCTTTGGGAAAAGCACCTCCCAGCTGAGTTCTCCGTGGTCCACAGTGGTCCTCTGTATCCTAGAGGAAGCTAGCAAAACGGAGCTGATAGTAGGGACCAATCCAACAGCTCGGTCTTAAGGAAAACCAGAAGGAGGTGCAGCCTAGGTAGAGTGCAGAGCGGTTTTCTCTTCTTTTTCTCCCTTCTCTCTTTGGTCTACCTAACACTGGCCTACAAAACCGTGGTCAGACGATCTCCACGCTTGCTCAGACAGGTTTGCCAAGATGCCGTCTAGAAGCCAGGCCTGCACTCCTGAATCTGCTGGCCACGAGCCCTGCTAAGATACACACCCCATCCCCGCTGTAGAATCTCTAATGCCCCTCCTCATCTCATCTTAGGCTAAAAAGTTTTAAATCATGTCAACAGGATAATGCTTGCTTTATGTGAGAATTATTTCAGCAGAATGGATACAAATTTTCAAACCAGTCTTTTCATATCTATGTATTCTATATTAAAAGTGATAAAGTCATGTTTCTGGGGCGTATTCAAGTAGCTGACAAGTAATTATTTAATAATAGTACATTGAGTGCATTGTAATTATTCTTGCCGTATGTAGTCAGGTAATAGTATCCAACGGAAATTTCCTACCAACCTGCTGTATCCAAAGTTTTGTAAAAAGTTGTAGAAGTTGTTGATCTTTTTGATTTTATATTCAAAAAGTCTCTTTTTATAAATATTATTTATTATACAATGTATATACCTTTGAGTTAACTAAGATTATATATTATATAAATATATATATATTTGGAGAAAATATATTTCATCATGCAGTTTTTTTCTGTTAAGTCATTAAAGAGAAGGTCAACTTAAAATGGATACATTGTACAATGTGTGGAGTTTCCAGATTAATCCTCAGGAGGTCAAGAATATCAAGATCTGAATGTGGTAGCTTCAACTCTCACTCTTAAATTAGTGGCCCAAATTAAGTTCATTTCCTCTGTTCTCCAAGCAAGATAATCTGAGACGTCATGGACAGTAGGCCTGATCTACTCTAGGACTTTCTTACAGGCTTACTTTGTTCTAAAACAGCTTCTAACAAAGAATTTCCAGTTTTAGAAATAAGCAATTTGGGCAGTAATTCATTTCATAGACTCCAGCACTCCCAATACACAAATTAATGTCACAGACACTCAAAGATGTGGCTCAAGGCCAGCAGACCACGATGTTGGCCAGTGACTCAATCCTTTCCTCACCCATGTTTTCAACTCCATTTACTGGGAACATAGCATTTGCTCTACTGAAAATGAAACTTGACTGGAAATGGCTCTGCCCTGCTAGCTCTGCTGGAGAGCTAAGCCACACAAGGGCCAGGGTTGTCAGGAAGAAGACATGGTGTCCCCTGAGCTCTGGATTGTCTGGAACAAGTGTCGCTTAAAGTTTTAGACTGGTCTGGGCAGAAAGGACCCCCAGTGGGCATGTTCTAGGTCAGTGGTCGGCAAACTGGCCCCTTGAGTGTGGCTCTTCCACAAAATACCACGTGCGGGCGTGCACGTACAGTGCAATTGAAACTTCGTGTCCCGTGCCACGGGGCCAAAGAGGCGCATGTGGCTCACGAGCCACGGTTTGCCAACCACTGCTATAGGTAAAGGCATCCTCTCCTTGGATTGCAGTTTCAAAGGACTCACCTGAGGCCCACAAGTAACACCTTCTTAGCAATGAGATGCCATAACTTGGTTTTATGACAACAGATATAAAATGTCTTCAGACGACCCATAAAGTCATCTTCAGTTTATTTGGCACAGTAAAAATCTTTCCATCTTACCTCCCTCCCTCCCTCTCTCCCTCCCTCCCTCTCTCCCTCTCTCCCTTCCTTCCCTCCCTCTTGATTTACCTTTATTAGGAACAAATTCTATTCATCTAATTTCACAGAAGACAACAACAGGAAAATAAAGCAGTCTGCCTTGTACAGTGGAGATGGGTTGCCAGACCTCTAACCTTAGATTGGGAATGGCTACTAGAAATTCATGCATTTTATTTAGTCCCTGAAAAGCTTAAACCACAAAAATGGTTGTTTCAGCCGTGCGAGGCTTCGGACATGGAAAATATACAGCTCCCCTCCACGCTCTAAAGCGCTGCTTAGCTTTGTATTCAGCTTTTATGTAAAGTTAGTACTCGTCTACCCCAGTGTTCTGGGTATGTTTAAGATTGCCAAATATTTAAATGGTCCCTACTCATACTTACCAAGGCCATTTGTAATCCTTTCTATAATTAATCATATTCTATGATCAAAGAGAATACAGTTTATAGCAGCGCCTGAACATTTAGCATCTCTGTAAACATAAATACTAATAAACATCTAAAAACATGAGGAAGTTTAAAAAAAAGATCCAAAAGAAAGAAAAAAGATAATATAATGAGAAGATATCTTTCAAAGCAGTATTATTTTACAAAGAAAGGAGGGGGAAAGTGTGAGCATGTTCAAGGATGATGGGATAAGGTAAAATTAAGGCAAAAGAAAGAGGGTAAGGAAAAATCGGAAAAAAGCAAGGGAAGAGGTGATGGGTGGTGAGATTAGTCTAGCTGTATCCAGTGATGTATCCAATGTTTCAGTGGGGTATCCCTGCCAGTCTTGGGTCTAAGGACTGTACATGCGTGGCTGACATACATGTACACACACAGTGAAGTTATTTCAGCAAAATGATGGGCCACCACACTGCCATCATTTCTCCTAGCTTAACAGAGAACTTTCTAGGATGCAAAAAAATTATCTACCCATAAGTCGTAAACTCCCCAAATAGTGAGACAAAGGCAGTTGTGGTGACTGTATACTGGGAAATTTTCGAACATGAGTCCTTGCAAATCCTGTCTTCACTACTTGGGAACCTTGCCGATCACGGCACTATCTCCTGCATCTCAATGCTATGGTATCCATACACACACAGCCCGAGGCCCTGCTCCAGGCTCTCGTCTCAGCACTGCTTGCCAGCTGATGAGAAACTTCAGATCATTTTGCAATAACTTCTGAAATTTACATGCTTTTTTGAACTCTTACCCACCTTTCCCTGTCACTACTTTGAAAAGGCTTATGGATCAAGTTGCCAGGCAAGGAAAAATGAAATCTTGCTTTTACCTTCTGTGTTTGGGCTGGGTTGGCTGTTTATAGCTGACTCAATGCTTCCCCAAGTGTGTTTAGCAAGATTTGAATCTACTCCATGGCTTGTTGCTGAAACTTCAAGGGGAAGTTTTTAGGATATGAAAAAACAAACTTAAAGCAAAACATATTTCAGGTTTTAACTACCAGTATACAGTTTTCTGTGTTACATTTAAAAAGTGTTTCAGTGAAGATGTACAAATTTAGCAAGAATTTTAAAAAAGGATAAACCTCTTTTTTAGGCTTTAATGACATCCTTTGACAAAAAAGAAATAGCCTGTTAACAGTACATCCGCAGATGAGGAGCAAGGCAGCAGCTAGCTGGAGGCACCTCTGCTTCATCAGCAGGCTGGCTGCAACCTCGTATGCTCTCTGCCCAGCATCGACCTTGGAGAGCTTCCAGACTCCACCTGTTCAAGGCTCTCCAGGGACCAGGGGGTCTCAAGGCCCTCCTCCCAGGAGGGTGTGGACAGCTCCCGGGGAGCTGACCCTGCTCTCAGAGAAGCTCTGAAGTTGGCCTCTTCCCACAGGCCCTTGCTGACTTTCTGGGCTGCCTTTAGTCCTAACCTGAACCAACTCCACGGGCCAGGTTTTATTTGGGCTAAGAGATCTGATAGTTCAGAAACATGTAAAAAGGATGAAGGATGTGAAATGAACCATGGGAAGAAATCTCACTAAGAGTGTTTGAGCCCCTTGGTTTGTACATTTCATAGGAAGGAGTAATTCAACTTGAGAAACAATTTTACTTTCTGGTTTAACCCAATTATGACTTGGGCACACTTCAGTTTTTTTTTAAATAAGGTAAAATAAGTATAAAGATTCTTGTTGTGCATTAACTTTTAAAAATGCTATTGATCTGTTTTTTTAATGACTATATTTTCAAAATAATTAAAATCAGAGATTCCTTTCTTTCTTTTAAGAGAGAGAGAGAGAGAGAGAGAGAGAAAGATATTCATTTGTTGTTCCACTTATTTATGCATTCATTGGTTGATTCTTATATGTGCCCTGATCAGGGATTAAACCCACAGCATTGGTGTATCGGGATGATGCTCTAACCAACAGAGCTGCCCAGCCAGGACCCAAATCAGAGATTTTTAAATAAAAATTATTCATCTCCTTATGATAGTTATAACAAAACAGCAAGAAGGTCTTTTCTGAGCCCTCTTCTTCATACATATCAGTTACATATATTGTTTTATATAAAATATTGGTCTACAGGATGTTTTCAAGTATATATACTCTTTATTGCATTCCTTCATTTGCATTAAACAATATATTTATATTTTCAATATAGTTTTGGACAAAACACAAAGACATGAACCTCACTGAATAAGAGACATAAGTTAGTACAATGCATGTTGTCTTCATGGGAAAAGAAAAGAGGCAAGAAAGAACTAAAACAGATAAGGGAACCCAGGATACTGGCTACCAGGAATCACAGAATTTCACAATACAGTCCACTTTTTGAAAAGCCACAAAGAAGCTAGGAATGAAAAGTTGAAACAAAGTAGACATGACATACAAGTCTACCAAAAATATGTAGATAGTAAGATCTGGAGATAATTTGCCTTTTACCATGGGGACAGCTGACGGAGTTACACCCAAGTGCCACGGTGGCAGCGAGCTTCATGGGCGGTTGCAGATGGCTTCTGATTGCTTGTCCTCACATTTTAAGCAGCAATGGGAGAGAGTAGCATGCTCCATAGGTGTCATCACCAAATATGATGACCTATTTAAATTCCTTCTAACTCAGTTATAAGACAAAGCCTTTGGAAGAAACGAGAAGAGGGTAAAGGAAATGTATTAAGTGTATTGGAATGGACGTTAAAGGACTGAGGGGAGAGAGCTGTAAAGTGATATTTTTTTTTTTTTCTGGAGAAGAGTGTTCTATTTAGATGCTAGACAGTACAGATAATTAAAATAAAGGAAGGATACATTCTAAGTAAGTCATTAAGCTAAGGCAAAAAGAAAAGTGGTGATGCTAATAAGCCTTTAGTATTATACTAAGGAACTGACCCATTTAGAGTTGGACCCTAATCAATGCTGAGAGGCTTGTAAATTATTTTAACAACTCCTTTCTTTATAGGGGTATAGGCTTTTCCCATACATCTTTCACAAGTTTTTAACAACACCTACCAGGTGGTAATGATTAGCATATCTCTTACCACAGAGGAAATCAGTTACATTCAGGGGATGTCATAGCCCACACACCAATACTCTTTCTATTAAGAAAGATCTCCTGATTCAGCTTGGAAACATCTCTGAAAATGATTGAGAACAGTCATCTTAGAAATCCAAAGCCTGCCCGATTTCTTCAGGCAAAGGTAACAACCAGCTTTCTGGGAGAACTTTAACCACATGCACAGGGAAGTTGTAAAATAATCCCTGTGAGCCCTCCCTGTTCCTGGTTTACCTGTAGAAAGTCTTCCTACTAATAGGCCAAACGTTGTCCTGCAACATCATTACATTTATTTAGAGCTTTTGGGTGGAGGGGGGAGTATGGGGCTTTAAATGAGTAGTGTTCACAAGTACAGTATGTCTCCCACACTTAAAGACTGAGGAAGAAGGAATCAGCTTGCAGGGAAAGGTAAGCACAGCATTCTAAAGCAGGTCTGTACCTTCCACAAAATAGTGGACTATCTCGATAAGCACAAGGAGGGGACTTTTATTGCACTGATCATGCAGAGTGAGCACGTGTTGAAGGCAGGGAACAATTCACTTCATT